ACAAAATTCAAGCTAACGAGTCAAGAAAACTCACCGGCAAATCCCTAAAAAGTGGTATATATACTCTATAGATGTAGAGTATATATACCACCGACCTTTCTCTTCACCCAACACTTCCACTCGAAATGGAAGTAAGCTCAACAATTATGAAACAAGAGATTCCTCGAAAACCAACTTTTCTTCGTACAAATTACTTTCGCCAGAATGACAAGGTGTACTACCACTGCATATTTTTGATAAACATATTGATACCGACTACAGGAAAAATCCATAGTAGTTAACCTGCTTAATTTGATAGATCGGATGCCTTGATAGGAATTAAGCGAAATGCCGAGAAAAGAGTATCTAACAATATGCGAAAAGTTGGTTAATAATAATTCGGCCTACTTCCATTTCGAATGAAAGTGTTTGGTTAAGAAATTCGAAGGTCAATCCCACAAGACGATGGGAAATTCGTCTTGACCAGGTGACGATTGACTTTACTGTAACATTCGTGTTAGCACAGTTTCCAAAGCAATATCCTTCGATTCCGGTGAAAACTTGCGTCATTATCTTCGTGATGCTTTCCGGCATCGGACTGCTGAGTTGGTACATGCTCAGATGATTCACCTGCATCGTCAGTGACAGGAACCATTACTATCATAGAGTCACAACTTATCAGTGACAAGTGAAGTCAACGATCCGACGCTGGAAATCAGCACAAATAGAATGGCATATGACGCATAACTTGGTACGTTCGACAAGGTCCCACTGACGCTCTGCACAAGTTGCGAAAAAAATGTAAAACTAATACTATATAGCCAAAAGAGACAGTGACTAAACAAAAGGCCACACCATCTTCACCTACACATCTACTATCTAATAGTTGTATAAAATATAAGACAAGGTGGCTTTTATTCTAGAAGCATCCTTCTTTCACAATTTAAAACTGATCAAACGTAGTTTAGGCAAATAGGTCGTGGCATCAAGAGAACCCCAAGGAAAATATTCTAAGTACAGCATCCCCTTAAATAGTTGCCACCATTCCTTACAGCATCAAATGTTTGAATTGGTACATTCCTGGACGTTCCGTTGGCATTTTAGTTTGCCAAGGAATGGACCATGCCTGTATATTTGTCGAGTTGTAAGTAGGTGCTAAAGCTGATAAAGTTCAATGACGATGCTAACTAAGATGCAGGCGAAACATCTACAGATACCAAGTCATTGATCCTATACTCAGAGTAAGCATGAAAAAAATTAAAGTGGATGCATACTTTGAAGTCGCTTGGTACCAAGACCATAGCTAATACTTATAAATAGTCAGTACGAGAGGATAAGCTAGAAGACCAATCTGCAGACTAGCATAAAGTCCAATCTAAACAAACTTAAATGCCAGTTAAAAGGATGCATAACTAGGTTAAGTAAATCAAGTCAGCTCCAAATAATACCAGAATTCTAAGCATCAACTAGTATGCTGAAAATTCTCTACGAAGAAGCTGACAATAATTTATTGTAGAAATTAAGTTCGTTGAGAAAGAAATGGAAATTCAAATAGTGTTCCTCTCATAGATATTTGTTCAGTTTAAATAGCAAAAGTTAAAAATGAACATAATGTGAACTCGAAAAGCAAAGCAAATCTGACAAAAAACTCGATGCTACTCACTTCATAGCGAAACGATTTTTTTGCAGAAGCAAGTTCTGTAAGATGATTTTTTTCTCCATTTTTAACTTTCAAGGTATTCGTTGAAACACCTTTGTGGGGGGGCAGCATTGGGACTGCAGAATTCGATGAAACGGTGATTTGAGTTAAATCTTTCTCCCTTTTATCGATGACGTCCCCAGAGGAAAGATCTTCAGGGATAGAGGTCTTGCATGGCCCGCGGCCATTGGAGAGCTTCTTAATGGAACAGTTTCTAGGACGCGTAGGAACAGTCCTCTTATTACTTGGCGCTTGTAGGCGTTCACCGATAACCTGTTCTTCGTGAGCAGCCGAAGTAGATGACAGAGTCGCATCTACAGGAAAGATGACAAGATCATCTGACTTTATATGATGGACGTTGGTTAGGTGACGACGTAGATTGCACGAACGATTAAAGCGCGTCATGCAGATGTGACAAGCAAACTGTTTTACGTCCTTATGCGTTTTTTTGTGGCGAGCGAGAGTTCCTGATGTCTAAAGAATAAAACTAGCATTAAAAT